TGGTAATTACCGGAAGCTCTTCCAACTCATCCGAGCCACTGGCAGCAAGAAGTCTGGTGTGAGCGAAACAATCTGCGAGAATGACGGAACGCCAATCACTAACATCCATCGACGTCTTGGACGAAGGGCAGTTCAACTGGCCTGCTGCTCCGGCAACATCGGTTAGACTGTCCTGCCCTCCATGGCCTTTGACGACTGATCCACTAAATGAGGCGGAAGTCCGCAAGGAATTCCAACTGTTGAAACGTTGCAAATCACCGGGCCCAGACGACTTACCTATGGCTCTTTTTAAAGATGGTGGTGACTTTCTGACTAAGGGACTGACGAAGTTGTTTACAAATGTCTGGGAGCTAAAGAGTGTACCAACGTCATGGAATGAGTTGATAGTTGTCCGTATCTTTAAAAAGGGTTCACGTCGTTCCTGTAACAACTATCGAGGGATAAGTCTACTTTCGATTGCGTCCAAGCTATTGGCTTCCGTTATACTTTGTAGGTTGTTCAAAACTCGAGAAAGATTGACTCGCGAGGAGCAGGCTGGTTTTCGTTCTCGTGGAGGATGTATCGATCATATCTTCACCCTCCGTCAAATGTTAGAACACCGCCATACTTATCAAAGGCCAACAATAGTAGTGTTTCTTGATATCAGGGCTGCCTTCGATTCGTTGGACAGGACTGTTCTCTGGGACTGTCTATTGAAGAAAGGTGTGTCTGAGAAGTTTATCAACATCTTAAAGGTCCTATATACAAACACCTCAGATAGAGTAACGGCAGACAACCACCTTTCTCCATTGTTCCATTCAAGCAGTGGGGTTAGGCAGGGTTGCCCAATCTCACCATTCCTCTCCAACTTTGCCATCGATGACATTCTAGAAACAGCTCTGATGGATGTAAGTAATGGTGGTGTGGATCTGTTGCCTAGAGAAAGACTTCTTGACCTTGAGTATGCGGATGATATTGTCTTACTGTGCGAGAATGTTCAAGCCATGCAATCCGCACTTAATCAGTTGGCAATCAATGTCCGTAGGTATGGTATGTGCTTCGCACCTTCAAAGTGCAAAGTACTCCTACAAGACTAGCAGGATTCTAATCCTGTACTCACTCTGGATGGTGAGCAGATAGAAGTGGTCGAGAAGTTCGTGTATCTAGGTAGCTGCATAAGTGCTTGTGGTGGTGTGAGTGATGAGATCAATGCACGTATAGTGAAGGCCAGAGCGGCTTATGCCAATCTGAGCCCCTTACCTTCTTTTTTTCCTTCCCATTCTCATTGTTTTGTGTGGCGTATATATATTTGGTGCCCCCTTGTACCAATATTTATGTGTTCAAATAATAAAAAAGTGCGGATTGCATGAATATGTTATCTAAATCTCAGCTGTTCAAAAATCCCCATAGGATATTGAAAAATGCAGAATATTTGAGCGAACAATTGTTTTCGATAACTTCATCATCAGGTTCTACAGTTATAAACATAAATAGATGTTTATAGTACATTTCAACAGAAGTTTTCCCAAATACACCGGTACTTACACAACAAATCAAGGATAGGTTACCGGTGATGAGCTTCTCCCTGTGTGTATGCCACTTCAACTGCTCCAGTGAAGGCTATTTACATGGGCCGTAATCAGAGGGCTTTATCCTTACATGTTCGTGAACATCTATCAACATGGTTGGGAAAAGGAGTTGCTAAATCGATCAACAGTACTGTTCTTTCTCACTCGGTAGATAGCAAACATCATATCAAAGTAGAGGAAGCTTTTTATGTTTTATATCAAGTTTCGAAAAAGTCTACTTCAAGGAGCTAGATTACAGCTACTCTACATAGCCGAAGCCATCTGGATCAACTCCAGAAAACCGAACTTATGTATCCAGAAAGGTATATCCAGCCTTTATGTTCACTTTGACCTACTACTGGATCACCGGATACCTAAACTGAATATTATAAACCTCTTGCCCGCTTCTCATTTTTTTATCACATCTATTTTGATCTTCATATCCGTCTTTCCCAATTCACATGAACCCTTTTTTATCGTAATCACCTTAATAACGCCCCTCTTATTACTTATTATATTCACACAGTGATATTATTATTATTACGATTGCTATTATCATTATTACCTCAATTAACAAGATGAAATTCCTATACTGTGCATTTCATTCACACGGTTCTTTTCATTTTCACTTTGCTATATTACTGTTATACTGATTGGGACGTCATACTGCTCTAAATCATTCTGACCTTTAAATATATATATAATTTCCGAAACAATTTATGGTATAAGTTTAGAGGGCTTTGTTGATGTAAAAGCTTTATGTATTCTTATTGAAAACCTCCAGGTCGTTTGGATCTTTATGTTTTTATTAAATGTCATTCGGTATTTCATTTAGACACTTATATCGATGGACCCATAGGGCATAACGTTTGGTTGTCCCTCTAATGCGTCAGTATCCAGCCTCTGGGTTTTATTGAACTTATTTAAAGGATCTTTTGTCAGAATATTGACTAATCTCTGTGTTTTAGTGTGGTGACGTGTAGTCATAAAATTTTGGTTTAATGACTCTGTTTAAACCGTTGTTCATCGATTACTAGTGTATCTGTGTTTTTATTGTAGACTGCTGAACATTTACTAGGAAATTATCAGGCCATTCAAATGTTAAGCAGTCGCCTTCAGCTAATTAGATCTTATGTCGCAGCTGTTGCAGCAGGAGAATTACCACCGAATAGAGCACGACTGAGAGAGATCAATGCTTTGGTTAAACGAATCCCTTTCATGCCTTCTTCAGCAGCCGAACAAAATGACAATTTGTACCGTCAAGCCAATGATGTGTGTCTGACAGCATTGCTTGCCAGCATAACTCAAGGCTTACATACACTCTACGGTTGTATGGTCAAAACATCTCACGTTATAGATCGCCGATCTATTCCTTTGAGTGTGGGAAGTGGAATTATGGACTCAGGTTCCAGTCGTTTTGCCAAAGTTTCCCACTCAATTGGTAATTCTAGTTGAGAAGGCAAAATGTGTATTCTGTGAATAAAGTCAGCTTACGTTATATAAACCGAGAATAGATTTCTGTAGTTGTACATATGGACGTCACAATTTTTTTCGATTCACAGTACTCAAGAAACATTTGGATAAAATCATATATTTGATTGTACGTTGGCTTGTATATAATCATATACTGTACTGTGGTAACTTGGACGGCTCTATAGCCTTTTTGTTTTTGATTCTGATACATCATCTTTGTCACAGCAGAAGTTCATCGTCAGTTCACTATTTTATCCATAAATAATGATGATGAGAACCATAAAATGTAAATGTAGCTAGAATTTAATTCCATGTCCTAGTGGCTGAAAGTTAAGGGCTGATAATGGTCTCCAAATATTAGAGTTTGGTCATTTATTCGCATATCAGTTTGTTGTTATTGCTATTATTAGTTTGAGATGGCTTCCGACGTATTTTCAGAAAGACTGGGTAATACTATGCTCATCATAGTGTTAACCATGAAATAAACCTTTTCACTTAGATTCAAATTCACTTCTGTAACAAACAACTTTCTTCAAGTGTTTGATTCTCACTAATGGATAAACTAAGTAATCAACAAATATAAATAACTTGTATATAACACTGATATTTGATGCTGTTGGTTCATTTTTACTTTAGGTGTACCCAAGATAACTATCGTTTCACATTCCGAAATATATAGTACATTCTAGGCTCTTGAATTATCTAGAGAAATCGGTCTATAGAAAATTATCATGTGTTACGACTGTTATTTGCAAATTTTTCATCAATCATAAAATATAGTTATATACACTAGTAATCTTCACGGGTAAATATTACCGAAAAGTAAACTCTAAGTGCATGCATTGCCAAATATCTCATGATCTTAGAAAACAGTTTTTTCCTCGTATGTAGTCACAGTAGTTGATTTTAAAAGATTCCACAAAAGTAATGTATTCACATGCCACTCCTTTCGAAGTCAACAAATACAGTTTCTTCAATTTCATAGATAAGAAATTTATTAGATGATTACCAGGCTTTAAATTTCCGGATCTTAAAGTCCAATTTTAGATGAACACATCAAGAAAACGTTATGTTCTCCAACTTCTCTGTCCAAAATCCACGGATAGAAACAAACAACTCATTTAGCCTTCATACGAGTACCAAATAGTTGAAGAGTTATAGAAATACCTCTGACCGTGTTTATAAACACCGTATTCTGCTTTTGTAGTCCTACTGACCCTCGCTACCCACTTTTCTTCGAGCCCTTATGTTTAATGGTATGTCCAAAGGTAAAGGCATCACTAATAAGCTAATAACTTCTATTATTTCTAAAATTCACCTTTCCTCTATGGTTGTTCGACCACTTGGTGTATATAGTTCCACACTAATAGATAACAATACTTGAGAACTCTTAGTTCGAAATTGATGTTTTACGTGAGACCATTTTTGATTCACTTGGATTTTTATCGTGTGCCTTCATAAATTGTTACCTAACTGTATGAAAACCCATACCCTCACACTAAGTTTGTAGTTTCTGACGTAATTGCTTTTATCTTTATGCAGTTCAGCTTGCAAAACCTTTTTATCCAAATTACTCATTCAATTGCAGATCCAACTTGTATTGAATCGTGACCCACATTGATGCGATTTACTATTATCAATAGATTTTCCTTAACAATAGTTATTCGTAGTGTCGGCAAGCAGTTTAACATGTAACCTCACACAAAGTTGACGCTTTCCATTGCGTCGTTGGTGGTAAGTGAGATATCCGTCTGTATAGGCTTTCCGATTGGGTTTAATAGAACCACAAAGTAGAAGGACGTCTCTAGAAGCCGAGTCCATCATTTGCTCATAAAATCGATCTGCTATTTCAAGTCAAGACAAATTTATTAATCGGTATCAACCTGTACCACACAAGATGAAATCGCTTCGTAATATTTTGATTTGTAGTTGAAAATGGATAAACTGTCCTTCATGTAATACCAACCCTTAACCTGAGAACTTAATAACTTGAAATTTTTAATTTCTAAGAAAGGATTTTACACAATTTCCTTCTCGGTGACAATTTCACGAGTAAAAACAATAATTTAGCTTCTATATATCACTGTAATTTGGTGCCGGATGAAAAGATTTAAATGAATTAGAGTTTGTTTGAAAGTTGGTTCAAGGTGTCAATAAAAATAAAAATCACAAAAGTTTCGAAAATAAATAAATAATATTTCTACAATTCTGTGTTTATTTATAGACTAATAACTGTTAGTTAGATTCAGAGATAGGAATTGTCGACCTTTTCCAACCTGTTTAAACTCCCTGTTTGGGAAAATAGTTAAAAGAGCGATATTCAATTATTGGTTCACAAATTCTGACTAAAATTTCTAAGTTATAATATTACAGTTATTAAATCAATTTAAAAATTATTTATTTATTTGAACACATAAATATTGGTACAAGGGGGTACCAGATATATATGCGCCACACAATTTAAAAATTAAGATCTATCAACTCTGTGATATCAAGAAAGGAAAATCAGTGTACACATCCTTCGTTAGGTGATAAAAGATTTTGTTGAAGCGTCAAATATTTTACTTCGCTTTCCCTTAAAACATTTAGTAATCTGTTACAGAGAATCGGAGTTATTTTAAGCACTTATATTTATTGGACTCATGACCTTCCTAATACATCTTCAAATTACGTTCTGGCTGTTTTAAAAACCGTAATCTTCAATGTAAAGATTTGTTTACTTATTTTAACACATAGGTTTAGGTACAAGGAGGCACCAAATACATATGCGCCACACAAATCTCAATTGATTTGTGTGAGGGCTGTGATACTGCCCGGGTGCCCAGACCGAAGCAGGTGGTTTTTTTAGGGGGCCACACCCCGCGCCCTCGACCTGAACGTCTGACCCACAAGGCAGTGGAGCATCGTAAGGATGTGCAGCCCCATGGTAGCCGGTGACCAACGATTGGTTCATGCGCCATTTGTTCCTTCAGGATACTGGAGCCCATGTGCACCATTGGTTTGTGATCCGGTTAAAGCGCCGGAAATTCTCTTTTCGTCCTCTCATTTTCGTAAACAACATTCCCGCCACGAGGAGGCAGTGAGTAGGACTTCCCTGGCAGAGGCTATATACGCATGGCCATGTGAAAGCATTTCGAGAGGGAGAGAAGACTCCCCACTCTCGGCCGTACCAGGGCATTTGTAAAGATTTGACTTAAATATTACTTACTTAGGACATTTTTCTCAGTGTGAACAGTAAGGAGTATAATCCATAATAATTCTGACCGTCCTTATTGGTTGGTCTGAAACAGTTACACTGAAATGTAAACGACTTTGAGAGTTCATGTTACTAATTGAACGAGGAGAGGATTCAAGACACAGTTCACTTTATTTACAATACAATTTAGTATTGCAAAGTTAGGGAACAGTGCTTTGCTTTTCCTATTTTCATTTCTACTCGATTTTCAGTCAGTCAGCAACAACGTAGAACTTCTTACGTATATCAGTTCGGGTTGCCATACCATATTAGCACAGAGATACAATTGTCTATTCAAATCCCATAGTGGTAGAGATAGTAAGAGTATAAGCAGTAATTGGGAAGACTGGGGTTTGAAGATGTTACTCAAAGAGTATTATCCAGTGAAATAAATCTGGAAGTCGAAAAATGGGGACTTGAAGAATTCAGAAGAATAGAATTTGAGAAAACACGAAGAGTGGATGCACTTGCGCCTCTGCAAACGATTTTGAACCATGTCATTCATGGTCTCCAATCATCGGTTGCTATCGTCTCGCGGATCCCAACCAAGTAGTCTACACCTATCAACATGACTCAGTTCACTTGCCAATGACTTCATGAATTTGTGCCATGTTTTGATCCGGCCGCCCCTAGCTTTCTTCCAACCTACTCCTACACCATAAAACGTCGCACGTCGGGGCAGTTGGTAGTTCGGCATACGTAACATATTCCCAGCCATTTCAACTGATGAAGTTTCACTACTTCATCAATCGATTTGCCACCCTCACCTATTACCTGTTTCTTAACAACTGCATCACTTACTCGGTGGTCCCAGGATATACGAGCAATGCTTCGAAGACACCTATGGTTGAATACTAGTAACCTACAAATATCCTCTACTTTTATCGGCCACGTTTCACAGCTATAAAGTATGACGGAACATACTACTACACAGTAAACACGTCCTTTGGTTGATAGACAGATATGTCGCCTACGCCATAAATGATGCAAGTTGGTAAAAGCCGGTCAAGCCTTTTGTACCCGTACTGAGGTTTCGCCACACACCAGATCAAAAGGGCTGATGAGACTCCCAAGATAAGTGAAGCGGTCGGCACACTTAACTACTTTACTCCCTATCATTAGTTCGGGTGGCGGTGCAACCCAGTCCTGAAACAACATTTTGCATTTCGAGGGGGAGAGTCGCATCTCGAACATGCTTGCATTGTTGCTTACGGTGGTCAGCAGACTCTGCATTTTGTCAGCGTCTTCACCAAATAGAACTATGTCATCGGCATATTCTAAGTCAACAAGTGGATCTCCCGGTGAAAGTTCAACTCCTGGAAAGTCAGATGAGGAAAGTGTCATCTCTAAAAGGACGTCAACAACAAAGTTAAACAAGAATGAAGAGAGTGGATAGCCCTGACGAACACCACTTAAGGTAATCAGTTATGATGACAATTCGCCATAAGCTCTCACTCGACCAGTTGTGTCCCAGTAGGTAGCCTTTATAAGGTTAATGTATTTCTCTGGTACTCCTTTCAGTGACAAACACTGTCACAGAACCTCACGAACAAGAGTCGAATGCCACCTTAAGATTGTGAAAAATACTACTTTCGTGGGACGTCTGAATGTTCTAGGACCTGACGTAGTGTGAATATCTGGTCTATACAAACACGTCCAGGTCGAAAACCAGCCTGGTTTTCTCTAGTCTGCTCTTCACGAGCTTTGGTTAGACGTCGAAGTATTATTGAAGCTAATATTTTAGACACTATATTAGTCAAACTAATTCCTCTGTGATTGTCACAGGAGGACTTTTGTCCTTTCTTATAGACTGGCACAATCAGTGATTGAGACCAGTCAGATGGGATTACGTCCAGTTCCCATATTCTACCTAAGACCTCAGTCAATCTCGTTGCTAATACTGGACCACCATCCTTAAAAATCTCAGGAGTACACCTGTCAGGGCCTGTTGCTCTCCCACGCTTCAGATTTCCTATGGCTCTTTCAACTTCGTAAAGAGTCGGAGGACTTATATTAACTTGCCATTCAGGTAGATTGGAGATCGTGGGAAACTGAAGTGTGGCTGAAGGCCAGTTGAGCTGACCCCTAAAGTGTTCTGCCCATCGATCCAATCTCCTGGATTGAGAATGAATAATATGTCCATCTTTCTCTGAGATTGTAACTTTAACTGTTGAGTTCCTAATACCGGTTTCCTTAACAAGTCTGAACAGTTGTCTGCTGTTACCTATTGCCACTGCCTTTTCCATGTCTCTTGTTTTCGCTACCCACTACTGTTCGCGATCATTGCGTAGGCTTCTTATCAGCCTGCGCTTAAGCTGACTCCTCTCTTTGTCATGTTCAGAGCCAAATGAGATGAGTTTTCGAGTATCTATCAGTGCGGTAGATGCTGCTGAGACCTAGTATTTCTCCCTAACCTTATGGTTTACCTTACTAGCAGATATCACTGCTGTTTCCACAGCTTCTCGAATATCATTCCACGTTGTCTCGGGATGGGCATCACTTACATGGCTACCTAAGTGTTTCTCCGATTGTTCCTGAAATATATTCTTATCTTGGCTATCATTAAGTAGGATCCGTAAAGGTTTCCTTGCAGTGTCTTTCCTACGTCCAGTAAGATGTTGACAAATACGCACTACCACTGAAGCATGATTTGAATCTAAGCATGGGCTCCAGAATTAGCGACAGTTTTTTTGTCGAGCCCCTCTACTGGTGGCTAATAGCGATTTGATATAGTTAGGTCCAACGTTGGGACGAATTCAGGGGTCGCCATGTCAAAAGATGTTTTTTTTCTTTATGCTCAAAGTCAGTATTTCCAAAAAACAGGCGGTTATCTGAGCATAGCTACAACAGACGGTCACCATTATCTGTTCTTTGAGCCGCGACACCATAAGATCCATCCAGGTGTCTTATCTTTTGTTTTTTTCACCTACTTGTGCACTAAAGTCACCGACCACTATTACCACATCAGAGCACCTAACCTTTCGCAGGAGGTCAGAAAGCTCTCTTTAAATCTCATATTTTACTTCATGTGAGCTGCAGTCAGTTGGCGGGTAGGCAGCGACTATGAAGAGGCAACGACCAGTGTCCCTATCTTCCCGAATTCTGACCGTTCCATTTAGTCGGACATCTCACAAGCGTTTGTCTACTGAGATCAAGCCTAAGAAAGCTAGTTCTGCCTTAGGACTCAATGCTATACCAACACCAGCGAGACCACGGGAGGCAGCATCGATGCTTTCAGATACACGAAGCGTGAATCGGGATGGTTCTTTATTTCGATGTGGTGAGCTCAAATGAATGACACTACTCGGGTCCTGTGTGCGCGTTTCCGAGACGCAGCACACATCGATGGAGCGAGATTCTAAAGTCCTATCTAAGGAAACATGTCCTATTCGGCAGTGTCTGGATGTTAAAAGCTCCTACATGTAGTTTAAAGCGTGGTTTCAGGAGACCGGGAATAACGTTCCGCGTACTCGGATTGTTTGCAATAGCGGCGTGAGAAAGATTAGTCGTGGAGATAAGAGGGTTATTAGGAGGTGTAGGAAGAATTTGATTGTGACCAACTTGGTCTCGTGTGTTGTTTTGGGTATGAGGGCTAATGTCACTTCCCGGCTGCCCACACCGTGAAAAGGTATTCCTTGAGGAACCTGGAGTGGAAGTTGGTCTTGACGATCTGGGAACGTGACCTCAGAGCCCATAGGACAACTGCTTGAGGCCGGCCACGCACGACCTTTTTGTGGGGAGTTTTTAACGTGCTAACTCCGTCCTCCAAAAGACCTTACCGCCAGAGACGGAAATCCGTGAGGTGCGACATTTTTAGGGTCTACCTTTTCTAACCCCTTCCTTCCTTGTGAAAAGACAGCATCGCTGCAGATGCTGGTTGTCCGAAGGGAACACCTTACTGTTGTCACACCTCTCTACAGTGAGCAGTATGACTTTGCCCTCAGACCCTGTGTTGCTGCTTTTAGTCTTACCGTTCTCTAATCGACCTGCCTGGCATGGTAGAACCTATGGAAACATATGTTTCAGCCAGTATAGCTCGGTTGGATCACCATGATAAGCAAGCCCGACCACCGCGTCAAAGTAGCAGCTACGGTCGGGCTACTCGATTTTAGTCAGTCTTTTAAGTATCCATGTTTGGTTATTTTGTAAACTACTACTAGTCATACGGTTGATATGTATTGTAAATTTTTGGAAGTAAAAGTCCTAGGACAAATAGACTACTGTAAAAGTAGACGCCCCAGATCCTTGGCAAATATTTGTTGATCCCAAAAGAATTATTTATTCAATTAGTTCAGAACTTAAGTGTAAATTAAGTTACATTTTAGATAGTTAGTGAAATTTTGTCTTCATTTCAGTGTGAAAACTCACCACTACTTAGGCCTAATTGTTTCAATAATCAGAAATTTCCTATATTAGATATCAGACTAAAATAACCAAGTCCATGATCATATTTAAAAATTACCAAATAAATTAACCCCTTGAATTGCTGACTTAAAATTAAAAATAACTACGTATGTAGTGTTTGAATTTCCCAATTAATTTGGATCTCTATTTAGTCCAATTTTGATTAGTAGTAACCTCGCTGTGATCCGTAATTTTATTGCTTATAGTTTTTTAGAGGATTATAATGGTTGTCAAACTTACACCAATTAATTTACATGTACTCCAAGTTATACACTTTTCTTGTCATCTTTCTCTTGGTCTTCTTCATCGTTATTGCTAGAAATAAAGTAAAAATCGTCAAAAAGCTTTTTATGACCATTATATTTACTCGTTATCATCTTCGTGCTTTGCTTGGTCGCTGTCAGCAGTTTGTTTATTTAGTATTAGTTGATCGTCATATAAATGTCGATAGTCTCCAAGAATACCTATTCTTTTTTAAATGTTTATGTATTACTGATAATATATATACTTTTCATTTTCTTCATGTGCATTAGTCTCAGTCACATGAAACCTTTAAAAATAAATATTATTGATCATCGGGAATGTTTATTTCTATGATTACTTTCTTTGCTTATCTTTACTTTTGTTCAGGTGAATTTTAGCTATATTTTCTTCCGCATCAGGCAATATAAGCCTTAAGGCTGGTGAGCATTTACTTTGAAAGTGAAACTTCATAAGAATACAAAATTAGGAATCATACTTTAGCATCGATGCTCGGGGTAATTGTGTCTGATATATCTTGGTATTCTTACTATCGAGTTCGCCTTTCTGACCAAAATAGGAAGCGCCTTGTCGTCCAAGGGAATTGAACATTTCTGATCTTGTAAACCTAAAGGCAAAAGCAGTAAGGCATTTCAATTCGACAAAGACACAAACATTTTACTCGATTTCTTACAATTTTGTATGTATCTACATATATAAAATTTCTCGATAAGCCAATATGAATGATGAGCTTATTTGTTACAATCAATGCTGAACCTTACTTGTGATGGTGGAGAATGTTTGTAACTCAAGTGGGTGATTTTGATGAAGTTTTGTTCTCTAAACTAAAAGGTATGGATTTGTTTCTCCTTTAGTCTATTAGTGTTTAAATAAATGGAAAGACTAAGTATAAATTATAGAGTTGGAATTCCTATGTATTTAATGGCTGATATATGTTATATCCTAGTAAAGATTAAATTACGGGTAACTTCTGTGAACTATTAACGGAATAGTATATATATATATATATATATATATATATATATATATATATATATATATATTCTTGTTGTGTAATTATTCAGTAAATAGATTATGCATAACTATATTCCTCTTATTATAAGCTTTATTTTGATCCATAGACTATTATGATACGATTTATTATTTTTTAAATTATTCTCAGTCTATCAGTTACCATCACCCACAACCATAGCCACCTTTTGGCTTGATCATGTGCAAATGTTATTTCCTATTTCATGGTGTGATGTGGTCCATTTGGCTCGTGTAAAAAGCCAGGTATGTTTGAAGTAAATGATTCGCGTAGCGGAAGCTGGTAATGGTGTTCTGAACTCAAATGGCAGAGCTAGGAGGACAAAGGAACAATAAGGATGCTAGGCTGCTCATAACGTTCGAACGTCATTGGTTTGGAGCAGTGATAAGATTGTATAAGTCGTATTCTGATTGGCGAATAAATCACGTGATAATTAACCGGGCTTAAAGATATAACAGCCTTTTTTGGTGGCCAACAACTCATTTTTAATTCGAGGGTTTGCCTCCTTTTAGACCAGAATCAACTGTATACTATCTGAACTGTGAATAACTGAGATTCTACTCGAGGTTATATAGTGGTAGTACAGTAATATAAAAAACACTAACTCCATCAAGAAAGCTCATAAAGTTTATATGTGATACATATATCTGGCTTAGTCAAATCGAAATTAAAACTGTGATACCTCGAACTTAATACTCTTCACAAGTTCATCAGATCATTGCATGGTTTTTAGTAATACTTCAATTTATTAATCTATGTCTATGTTGTACGTCCATAGTTCATTCGACCTACTTTATTTCATACTGAAAACTTCCTACACTAATTTGTTAGTTTTGTTGTTAATGATTCCTTTGATTCATCATCAATTAGGACAGCTTTTAACATGAATTTAGTTTGTCCCATACTTCTTACACTCTTACTTTAATGGTACATAATTCATAGTATTGATATTAATTACTTACCATCCAATTTGGGCACAGATTTCTTTAAATCTTGTTCGTAGAAATGTTATCCACATGCAAAAAACAAAAAACCAAAAAAATGTTTCATATAAATTCTGGTCTGTTTTTGCAGTTGCAACTGGATCAGTTGGTCTAGGGCATATGTTATGCATTAGACTTCGTTCAAGTAGTAGGAATTTAGCATACGCAAGTGAAAAATCATATTTTAGTATATCTATTCGTTTATGTAAGTCTTCTTGTTCCTTTAACTGGCTTACATTAGGTAATCTAAAATAGTCAAACATTTTTTTAGGAAAAAAATTTGATATTTGTAAAATTCGAAATAACATTTTACAATTTTTCATCGGTAAATTTTTCTTTAAATTTCAATATTTTGAAATAACATTCGAAATATTTCGCCAAACTGATCAATAGTTTGTCACATTCTGGTGATCTAATTTAAAGAAAAACTAGTTATCAAATAACCAATAAAAAATGTACTTGATCATTTTAGCAAAGTGTTGGGAATATTGGAAATGCTTTCCTGATGCTTTTAGTCTTGTCAAAGCAACAGCTGTCCTTCCACCAGTAAAACGCAAAACTTACATTTTATATCCTCTATAGTTATTGTGCGAATTTCGTCAACAATTTTCATATGACTTTTTTTGTAAAGATTTCTGGTCATCATCGTAAAAATTTATCTAACATTTTACTTTTGTGAATAAATAGACTTTTGTGATTTTTGATTAGTAAATTTGATGAACACAAGTTCATTTTTATCATCGATCCACTCAAATCTTCCTGTTGTCGGCTTTAAAAATCAAAATTATCGTATAATTAGATAAAAACATACCAAACTTAGCTCACTTTGGAAAGGATTCGAATTGTTCATTGTGTATTTCAATGATATCTGGAAGAACAGAGATAAACCGTTTGGTACAACGTTTTAAGTTAATAATATACATTCAACAAAAATTGTATGGAAACAAAGGTTTTATAATGATTGCTTAATTTGAGAGAGAAGTTTTTGTCACAAACTGATATTAGTTAGTTAATCACTGTAAATCAAATATCGACGAACAGCTACCTTGTTCTGCTTCTTGACCCCTCAGGTTTGATGCTGTGTGATCCAGGGTGCATACTACCCAATACTCCTAGATTATAACAAAATAGCTGTTCGTCACTTTCTAGTTTTCTATGATCCTTCAGCTTAGCATCATTGTACGATATAAACTTCCCTTTTCCATCTATTGTAATAAGCATAAAATTATTCATAAGTTAAAGCTGAAAAAGCTATTACCCCATAGTGTACCAGCAAATATTTTTGTACGATGGTATTGACCTATTTTACGTAGACATCTACTACTAGTGACTTACCAGAACTTTTGTATGTACACATCGATTGATCTTTCTTTACTTGAGTCATTTGACCTAAACTCTGATATTTTGGGTTCATATAAAACATTTATATCAATTTTATTAAATTTTATACAAAATAATTGTCATAAGAACCCGTTTTACCCTAGGATAGTATTTAGGACGGATCATCACACATTTAAAAAAATGAACATTACTCCTATCTATATCCCAGGTAAATAAGCTATGAGTTTTCAATAACTAGACTTCTTGTTATGGCTGACTGAACTGAATCCCATTATAGTATCAACCACGTGATATTATTGTAGTTTTGCACACCTGTACTACTGATTTTCTACCCCTATTGTTATCGCATTTTCGCATATCTGTTATTATTATGAATTTCACGTAGATACGTTTATTGTATTTTAGTCACGCAATTCAGATTGACTTTGGTGGTTATGTAATATATATATGGTAATGCTTATTCATGAAGTCAGATTTGTTTCTTAAGTCATAACACTTCTTGTGTAGGGCCAGTGAAATGTCACTGGATCCTAGCCAAATCATCTGACAATTGAGTTACTGAATGTCAAACAGATCACCGATACTCGTCAAGGACAACCTACATGCACCCATTAATCTCATACAATGACTGGCCTATGTGGTGGTGGTGGTGGTGGTCACATTCTGTTCCTTGTACTTACTCTTACTACGATACGGTACGGTCAACAAAGAAGCTATAGTATTTGAATACGACGAAAAAGCAATCCACGTTAGGTACTGGCCGCAAAGTGTGACTTCGACATTAGCTTGTTGTTCACACCATTACCGTCTAATTGGGATAGCCCTTCAATCATTCGACATAGATTATCGGAGTTAGTAATCTACACTTGATTGCCCGCTGATGACGAATTCCGAATACAATACGTTTATTTGTGCTTATTTAGTTCCCCTACCTTAAACTGTACTATTTCGAGAATTCTTAGTTAGCACTTTAATTCCAATACCTCTGATTATTATATTGCTGTCACTATGGAGTCAAATCTTGGACACTTAGAGAATTATTCGAGCCCCCAAATGCCCTGGTACGGCTGAGAGTGGGAAGAGTCCATTCTCCCTCTCAAAATGCCTTAACATGGACACGTGAATACAGCCGCTGCCAGGTAAGTCCTACTCACTGCGTGTTGTCTACAAAATCGTGGGGACGAAAAGCGAATGTCCGAAGCTTTAGCAGGGTTGATGGATAAGGGGTATCCATCTAGGGGAGTTGGGAAACCCTGATTTCGAACCAGCGATGCACATGGACTCCAGGATCCCGAGGGAATAAAAGGAGTATGAACCTTTTGTTGGTCACAAGCTACCATGTGACTGCGTCTCCTTACGCTACTCCACTGCCTTGTGGATTGGACCTTCAGGTCAAAGGTTCAGGGAGTGCCCTCCTAAGAAAGCAAGCTGCTTGACGAAATAAGTTAGTTAGAGTAGGTGCAAGTGAAAGTGTGACCACCACGGGATGAACTGGTTCATTGATCACGGTCAAATGATGCGTGTTGGCCTTCCTCGACCTTGGCATGGGTCGACGAACTGATCGATATTCAGTGACCCAACTGCCGGACAATTTGGCTCGTGCTCAGTGATATTTCACTGGTAAGATCAGAGGACCATACAGTAAATACTTCATTTTTAAAATGTCAACCAATCGTCTCAGACTTCGTTTTTTTTTCGTTTCCACACCAACCGTTCTCTGTTCTCGATCTTTTTTCTTCGATTTTCTTGGCTTTTTGCAACCAAGCAATTCACTTTCGACTGATGATACATACTACTTATGTTTGTCGACATCAGTAGCATATACCACACTATGACCCTAAAAAGTCAGTTATTTATGTATGAATTACACCTGTTAGCCAATGATGACATGATATCTAATTGTTTGCGTTTACTGATGAATGATGTATAGTTGATCAAATCCAAAGTCTTCTAAAAATTGACGTATATCACATTTACTCTCCTCTTCTGATCGAAGATGCTTGCCTATCTGCCTACTGTAATCTGAAGATTGGTAATGCAATACGGGCTCTTCCTATAACCATGTTGTTGCGGCCCAAAGACGTTTTCAGACAACAAATAGTAACTTAACCACCATGTGTCATAGATCCCACAACGTTTTTAGAGTATTAAAGGGAGTGATACCGATCGGTAGCTTGGAGTTTTGTTGAATTTGTCTCATTTGAAATCCAGTGTAATGTGTGCTAGTTTCAGGTTATTGTGCACTGCGCCATGAGTTAGAGAACTCGAGAGCATTGCACTAAGAGATGTTGCAAATACTGGGTCTGATTCTCTTGGTATAGCGATGTTAGCCAAATCCGTAGCAGGGGAAGTGTCTTTACTTAAATGTAGCAGTCTCTGATGCATAGATCTAATGCTTATGTTTACTTCTCAAACTCCTGTTAAGCTGCAAATGAAACCCTCGCCGGTGTGACCGCATGGGATGGTTTATATGTTTCAGAAGCTCCGCTGTATCACCATCAACTTTGGCTGGGACAGTGAGATCTGTTGGCTGTGAAACACTAGCTTTTGCCTGTCAAAGAGAGGTTTATGATGGAATAACGCTTCAAGTTTGTCTATTACCTCGATATGATACTGAAGCCTATATCTTCTTAGCGACTTTATGGAATAACTTCTTGCTTGTTTGAGCTGTTAACATGTGTTGCTGTCACTGATTCATTTGTGACAAATCCGATAATACCCTATGAACTTCAACGTTCAAAAAGCGTGACTACTTATGACTTTGTGGCTCCTGCAAGCTGTTTGTAGAACAAACTGATTTGCAGCACGTAAACTTGAGTTCATTGAAAAATAATAGTGAACGTCCATGTAAATTTTAACTACGCCTGTAGCTCTTCTGGAGTTACTGCCTGTCCCAAGCCCGGGTAAATGAGGAAGGTAAAGCATGGAGTCGGAAACCGCATCCCGTAGAAAAAATCTCACTAAAAATCTCCAACCAGACTAAACAAATTAAACCATTTGAACTCTGCACTGGGAGTTGAGTGAAGAATTATGACACTTCACGATGAAGACCTAGATTCTTTGTGAGTCACGAGGCTAATGTCCTTTCTAAGAACAACAGCAACAACTAATATAGGTACATAGAATGTCCGGTCGATGCAAGAAACTGAGAGTAGTTATCGAATAGCTATGGAAGTGAGAAGATACAACACGACGGATCCTGGAGTCAGTGAAAACCATCGTACTCAAGTTGAACAGAAAATGTTAGGTACGGGAGAGATGCTATTGTACTCCGGTCACGCAAAGGAACATATGCGGCACAATATTCCCACATAAATGTATACACAACGCTACATGGATCTCACGGGACCACGTCATGTAGAACGAGATACATCATATTTGCATCATTAAAAATCCTAAAATACAATGGAAGGTGTGAGAACCAGAGGAGAGGGGTTGACATAACTTCAAATCACCACATGGTTGCAGCCAAAGTGAAACTGAATCTAAAAAACACTGGACAACTGAACAAACAGCACTACAAAGAATAAATACAGCCTTCCTTCCATATACCAACAAACTCAACAAATTCAAGTTAACTCTCAGGAACAGGTTCCAAGCCTTACAGGATATACTGAAGGAAGAAGAAACTGCTATGGAGGACAACTGGAAAGATGTGAAAGAGGCACTAACTTCAACGTGTCAAGAGGTTCTGGGCCGCAAGAATTATCATCATAAGGTATGGATCTCTATAGAAACGCTGGACAGGATCAAACAAAAGAAGAACAAGAAGACAGCAATTAATAACATCCGAACACGAGCAGAGAAAGTCCAAGCAAAAGCTGAGTACATAGAAGCAAACAAACACGTAAAGAAGAGCATTAGAAACGACAAGCAGAAATACATGGAAGAACTAGCAACGACGGCGGAGAAAGCTGCAAGAGAAGGAAATATGAAACAGATTTACTATACAACGAGGAAACTAGAAGGGAAATATAGTAAACCAGAGAGACCAGTTAAAGACAAAGAAGGAAGACCAATCACTGAGATTCAACAACAGCGAAACAGATGGGCAGAGTACTTCGAGGAACTCCTGAACAGGCCGGCTCCAATGAATCCACCGGACATCGAAGCAGCACACACAGATCTTCTATAAGATCTTCTATAAGATGTCAATCCACCAACGACTGAAGAAATCAGAATGGCCATCAGACAAATCAAGAGCGGGAAAGCAGCAGGACCTGACAATATACCAGCTGAAGCGTTGAAGTCAGATATCGAAGTAACTACAAGCATGCTTCATCTTCTATTCAAGAAGATTTGGGAGTAGGAACAAGTGCCGATGGATTGGAAAGAAGGACACCTCATCAAGATTCCAGAGAAAGGAGATCTGAGCAAGTGTGAAAATTACAGAGGCATTACACTACTGTCAATACCAGTTAAAGTCTTCAACAGAGTGTTACTGAACAGGATGAGAGACGCAGTAGACGCCCAACTTCGAGACCAACAAGCTGGATTCCGTAAGGACCGGTCGTGCACAGACCAAAT